CCTGTTTCCCTCGGAGCCCAGCAGGACAAAGCTAATTGGAAGGAAGCATTCAGAGTGCTCTGTCAGCCTACAGGGCCCAAGTATTTAGCAAGCAGCATGAATGAGGATTCAAATTGAAGAGAGTCGTTGGCCCTTAACAATCTTCCCCAGGAGTGGACTTGTCTACTCAACGTTTTGGACAATGCAACTTTGAGTCAGAGGGGAATTACAGGTGGGAGTAATTTACTCCTCGATTTTATGTCATTGCTCCAAGTATTAATCAAGGGCTTTCCTTCCAGTTAATCCTGGCAGTGTTCGGCATTTGGACCAGGACAAGGAAGGCTTAGCTACCTTCCTAAGCAGATGTTTGCTGAATGGGTGCAGTGGTGCCATCAGGGCTGGAATCTTAGGGCCCCACCCAGCAGAATGGGCAGGAGACCCAGCCATGTGTACAGAGTGCTTGTGTTTGCAGTGATCTGGAGACAGATTCTGTTCAGATCTTTGGGCCAATGTGGGTGTGGTCCCAGCACCCACCCTCCATACATTTACTAAACGTGTAGGTTTTATTTAGCTATGATGTCTGACAGGTATCAATGGACACCTACCCTCCATAAATGAATGGCTTGGAATAAGAGTGTTTGTATGTAGTGTGGGACCTCAGGCTGAATATGGACCTCCAGCCCTCTTGGAACTCTCCCCAGGCCACACTCCAGATACAGTTGGATCAAATCACTGGCCAAGGTGACTATCTCCATGCATTCTTTATGAACTTCTGAAGAGGCATCTGCCTTACCTGTTGGATGCGGAACACAAGTCAGATGGATCCATGGTCTGATGCAACTGTTACTCTTGTTCTTTTGCTTCTTCTATCTAACCAGTGTGAGGCTGCATTCACAATGCAGTTTATTCCATTTCCCTGACACTTCAACATCTGTCAGTTCCCACATGAGCTTTTACATGGCAGAAAAGCCACTAGCAAATTTCTAGTGGAAATTTAGAGCTTATTTTCTTGTTAATTGTTTTCAGAAAAAAAATCTATTTGCAGCCTCATTAGACCAGAAAATCATGGTAGTGGCAAAATCTGGGCTGCACTGGCATACAGTTCTTTCCTGCTGTGGGAATAATGCAGGAATGAAGCATGCATTTGTGGAAAGGATGGGGGCCAATGGCATTTGTTGTTGGTCATACCAAATCTACTGGGTTGAATGAAATTTCGTGTAACATGCTGGTATATTGGTCAAAAAGGCCACAGTTCCATAATGCAACAGGCACTGCGGTATAGAAAGGAACACCAGAAAACAAGACAGAAGCACTAGCATTTGTAATCAGGAAAATGGACAATTTCCCCCAAATCTGAATGCTCCCTTAGCCTCATTTCTTGTGTGACTGTGGCTTAAACTCAGCCATGAGTTCTCTGCCAATTTACAATACAGTATAGCTTTGAGTCACCTGTAGAAGGGTGCAGAAAAGTGTCTCATTTATTTCCGTATGAAACAAAAGGTTTCCCTGAGCAAAGGTTTCAACGGTGAAGTTTACGCAAGCTTTCTAAAACCATGACATGAAAGCTCTTTGGATGTCAGATTTCTAGCTGCAGGTCATTTCAATTTGGAAAGAAGCTCTGCAGCTGTGTTAGACTTTTGCTGCAAAAAAACAACAACAGAGAGACTTTTGGCACTTTAAAAACTGAACACGTTTAAGATGACATACCGTAAGTTTTTGAGGTGGACTAGACTACTCTTCATCAGATGGATCAGACTTACATCTCTCACGTCCAGCCCACTTGCTGCAATGGAAGTACTCCTGAAAAGAATTTGTCTTTGTCATTAGAAATTCCAAGTTTAAATAGGGTTTGGTGTGTGAGGAGAACCAGATTGGGAGGTAATTGCTAGTTCATTAATCGGTTAAGAGGGCCAAACAAGGACCAGGGACAGTGTAGGCAGGACAATGAAATCAGGTATGTTCAAGTATAATTCTTTACAGGTTAAAGCTAGAGATCCTTTCAAAAGGCTTAGGTTTTACCTTGGCCATCTTTTTTCCTTTCTTTCTCCTTTCTCCCTGCTACCCAATTTGTAATTGTCTGTTTCCCCTAATTGGCTGATTAACCACTTATTACATGCAGACCTGGGGGTATGAAGGTCCTTTTCACCACAAGACTTTTCCTTCCCTTCCAAATTGAACTAATCTGGGAAACAGCAGAAACGGTTTTGAACAGCTTGCAGAGTTTTCTGTTGGTTGCTCTGGATGAATATGGTTAGAGGGACCATATTTGCATTTTTTTAAACGGTTGCATTTTAATACAGCTGTTGTTTTAATGATTTTAACTAGTGGCATATAGAGTTATATTTATATTTCAAACTTTGGAAAGGATTGGTGCCAGCCAACTAATGGATGAAATTTCATTTCTTCCTTTAAACATATATAAATCCTTTTATGGGATTTTTTTTTAAAAAAATACATCAATTAAAAGATCTTTTACCATCAGATATTTTAACGTCAATTAAAAGAAATCACAGCCTCACAACAGCTGCCCCTTAAGAGAAGCTGATCTGAGGCATCCTGAGCATACTTAGGAAGTCCTATTGAACACAGTGAGCTTTATTTCTGAGTAAACTTGCACAGGATTGTGAAAAGGCTGACAATGCAGTACTACTACTACTACTACTACTACTACTACTACTAATAAAAATTATTTATATCCCGCCCTCCCAGGCCGAAGCCAGGCTCAGAGCGGCTAACATCAAATGTATAACACATTAACATAAAATCAGACAATCAATTAAAATACATCCTCAAATCAGATCAGGATCAGAATAAAATCCAGTCAGATGGCAACCCGCAGATTAGGGTTGGGGACCTTAAATGCTCACCAGGCCCAACTGTTTGTGCTGAACTTATATGAGCCTGTGAGAAAAATTGGGAGGCCACGTATCTTCTCAGAAGTAAGCCCCAGTGATCTCAGTAGGACTTATTCTTAGGAAAGTGGATTGCATCTTCAATTTTTCTTCTAAGTAATAATCAAAATGAAGTGAAATGCATTGCTTAAATTTCAAGAAGAGAAATTGTTTGCAAAAAAAGGTCCATTGGCAGTAAGATCCACTTGAAGAAGCCAGCTGCAATTAAAATCCAATACATTTTAATCAGCCATTCATGAATTATTTGAGCCTATTAATTGATTACTGCTCAGAGCCCTGTTAGAAGAATAGAGGTGTCTGTTGACAAATGTCAAATTACTCATTTGATTCTATCAAAAATAGTTTCCCAACATTCAATCACACTCAGGAGTGACCAACCCAAAGGGTAGAGGATAGAGTTATGATTACTGATTACTACCTACGTCTAAATTGCCAAGGTCAATAGGATTCTGCCCTTTAACTGAACAGTTCCCAGAGAGGAACATAACGATTTATTATACAAATCCATATGTAAAAAACTATGAAACCAGCTCTGTAAAATAAAACCAGCATGGCCAATGCCCAGGGATGATGGGAGTTGTAGTCCATCAACTTCTAGAGGTCATCATGCTGGTTACTCCTGACTTAAAATCCCTGCTTTGTGCCATTGCCTCATGTAATGTGAATATTGGCATAACTATTATTGAATCTTAGACTCATAGAACTTCGGAAGGGTCATCTAGTCCAACCCCTGCAATGCTGGAATCTCATGCCCAACATAGGACTCAAACCCACAACCTTGAGATTAAGAATCTCATGCCCTACTGACGTATATGTATTACTCACCCTTCACCAGAAGGTCCAAGGGTGGGTTACAGCAGCAGAAATTGCAGCATTAAAAACAGTTTAAAACAAAAATAACAATCTTGCAATGAATTACAAGAGTGGGTCCATATATATATAGTCAAAGGTGAGAGTGACGAGGTCCATCTTCAACATACAACAAAGGCCGTGTACACTGAAAGTGCCAGACACACCTCTGTGGGGGAGAGAATCCCACAATTTAGGGGCTGCTACAGAGAATGCCCTCTCCTGATCACCAGCTGCCCCAAACATCTGAGGGCAGTGGACCGATGAAGAAGGCCCCCTCTACTGATCCTGAGAAGGTTTGTAGGGAAGGAGGAGTATGGCGTGCCCTACAGATCTTAAGACATGGGCTTGCAAATGATGGGGTGCATGTCTTTAGGGTGTGTGGGTTCTGGACTGTTCAGTTCAATGAGGAGTTTCAGTCTATGGCCTTCCTTCATAGCACTAGAGCTTGCGGGCATCCCATGAATTTGAATGTTGGACGATTCAGGACATACAAAAGACAGTCCATCACACTATTGCACAATAGTTGAATTATGAAACTTGCTCCCCACAAGAGGCAGCAATGGCCACCAGCTTGGATGGATTTAAAAGAGGATTAGACAAATTCATGGAGGGTAAGATTACCAACAGGATGCCTCTGAACAATGGTTGCTGAGGAACATGCATGAGAGAGATAAGCTGTTGCTATACTGCCATGCTTGTGAGCTCCTCAGAGGCACCTGACTGGCTCCTGTGAGGACAGGATGGTGGACTAGATGAGCCATTGGCCTGATACAGCAGGCTCTTCTTATGTCCTGGGTGTACTATTGATTTCTCCTTTGCAAACACTTGATTCTGTTCTTGGAAGATCTCAAACGCTAGGAGAACTATCCTAGCTGGTTCTGAATATATCTTCATACCCTACATAATTGGTTGATAGTGGTGACGGCCACCAGCTTAGCTGACTGCCCAAAGGGGATTAGCCAAATCCGTTAAAGAGAATATGGCTGTCAATATCTATCAGTTATAATTGCTATATGTGGCGTCCAGGGTCAGAGGCAGGTTCCTTTTCAATACCAGTTGCTGCAGAACAACAGCAGAAGAAGACTATGGTTTTCATATCCTGCTTGTGGACTTTCTCAACAGACATCTGGTTGGCCACTGTGGAGAACAGGAGACTGGATTAGATAATCCTTTGGTCTGAAACAGCAGGGCTCTTCTGCTCTTATTTCATCTCCAGCATCCAAAATTCCTACCTTCATGGGGGTCTTTCTGGGAGGGGGCGTAGCTCAATGGTAGAACATTTGCCTCACATGCAGAAGGTCCCAGGTCCAGCATCTCCAGGCAGGGCTGGTAAAGACTTCTGCTCGAGAGCCTGGAAAGCCAATCATGGTTGACAACAATACTGAGCTAGGTAGACCATTGGTTTGACTTTCCATGTTCACATTCACTTGCCTGGACCAGGCTTGCTGGCATCCACTACTCTCGTGGTTGAACCAAGTGCATCCTAAGTAGAGATCCAGCACTTGCTATACAAAGTGAGAGCCACTGTGGTGACCAGAGAAAAGGTTTTAGTCCAAGGATGGGGAACTTGTGGGCTCCCAGATGTTGAATTCCAAATTCCACCAGTCCCAGCCAGGAAGATCAATAGTCACATGTTCATACTCATGGTTTAGAACCAAGCTCAAATCCTTTTTCAGCCATTCAGCTTGCTGGGTGACCTAGTCACCAGTCACCAGCAGTGGACTTCGGTAATCTTTCATAATATGGATCCCTATGCAAGCCCAAAATTTGACTCTTCCAAATGCATCTTCTCAATCATGGATCTTCTCAATTTGGCATGCCTTTGGCTTGGCACCATGTGCGAGGGAATCACCCTAAATCCCGGACCGTGATACCCTCTCTGAGGCTGCCCTAATTTACAGGGTTGTTGGTGTTGAGATAAAGTGGAATGGCATATCATGTACATCACTCTGAGCTCCCTGGAAGTAGGATAAAATGACAGTGATATGACAAGCACATGGATGCAAGTGATCCTCATCTAGGACCTAAACTTCCCTCCTCCTGAATTCAACTATTTTGACAGATTAAAAATGCTGGTTTCTAAAGGTTTTATCCCCCAAGCCTTGAAGGATCTTGAGGAATCTGCGGGATTGCAGCTGTGTGTGTCGCAGTGGAAAGGCATGCTAAATTAAATCGATTTGCCTGTGAAAGGACCGCGTCCATTATTCATGTCACTGGTCTGTCACATCAAATTGAGGGAGGGAAGAAAACGTGAAAAAAAGGAAAAAATGTCCAGTATTCCGGCGGGGGAGGGTGGAGGTTTGGAAATCCCAAGCCGCAATGGACTGAATTTCAAGTGGGAGAAAGTCACTCTGAAAGCCCAGGGATAACAGGAAGATGGGAAAGGATGGGGGGTTAAGTTGGCAGCTTGCCAAATGTTGAAAATAAGAAAGTGACTTAACTTTAGTCAAAACTTTTTTTCCAGCAGGAATCGGATCGGAAAGCTTTGTGCAGCAATAGCTTGACCAAAGCAGAGGCTGCTTCCCTTAGAACCTTCTTGAAAGCATTTAAGACAATGTAAAGTTAATCATTTACATGTGGTATTCCTGGATCCTTTTTATTTTATTTTAAAGAGTGTGCATTGTACAGAATCATAGACTCAAACAAAATGAAACCAACAACAGTAGAAATAAAATATCATGACATACAAAATGATTTCATTGTAATTATTTGTATTTTTGAAAGAGTTTTTTTTAATATGCATACAGCTTTAATTCTATCAATGTTTAATTGCATTTTTAAAAACTATTTTTACTTGTTTTTAAATAAATGCAAATACAAATATAAATACAAGAACCGTTAAACACCCATTTACATCTAATGGTGTTTGTTTTATCCATTTTTTCTAAACATAAATGCACACATTCAACATTCAAACATAATGTTTAATTGTACTTTAATGATTTATTTTTCTATATTTTTAGCAGTTCTTGTTTTATCTGTAAGCTGCCATCAGTGTTGCCAGGGGAAAAGGTGGGATGATGATGATGATAATAATAATAATAATAATAATAATAATAATAATAATAATAATACACTAAATTGGGCTGTAAGCACATTATAAATAAAATTGCCATGACTTTTATTTGTTTCACTGTTTCTGGGATGAATATATCAATTGAAGAATAATAACAATCACAAGCAGCTAATACACACACACAACAGTTGATAGCACCCTCTGATTCACATCTGAGCAGCTGAAGAAGCTTAAACATTTCGCTAGCATTTATTTCGTTAGTCAATGAAATAAATAAATGAATATAATTTGAGGGATTCACTGCATCCTATCGGAATCCAGAGCAAACTTGTCCGATGAGTGCAACTTCCAAAAGTCTTCCTCTGTCTCCCCCACCCCCTCTTATAAACAAGTTGCAATCCTATACATACTTAATAGGAGTGATCCCCACTGAATGCATGCACAGAATTCCTCCATAAGGCTTTTTTTTTTTAAAAAAAAAAGTTCATTGATGCACACGGCGCTACATGCAAATGTTGCTATTCCACCACCAACACTCTCACACGCACTCACATCACGAAAAGCAAAGGATGATTTGAGGAGTGATTAGCTGCTCCCAGCGCAACACAAGGTCCCTTGTGAGAGTCAAAGATTATTACCGGCTGAATACTCTGCTGAGCTAAAGAAGCTTTGAATTGTTTTCTTTAGAAAGCAGCCATGCATTCTTAAGATACAACTCTGGATCTGGCTTGCTGCTCTAGGTATGCATATGCTCTGATTATCCCTGGTTACCAGAGATGGTCCGTATCTTAGGCTGCTGTTCCTTGGAAAACTATGGTTGCTTATTTTGTCCCTGAATGAAGATATTATTATTATTAATATTATTATTATTAAAATGAGAGAATATACATTTTGATTTGTACATTATTTGTACATGCAGATTGTCAAGGGTTTACAGCAAATCAAAAATGCTGTCTAAATGATTTCCCCCCGGATATGTAACTTTTTTGGTTGTTCATAATTTCTCTTTTTAAACATGCCAACTTTATAATTATTCCAGAGTCCTGGGTTTTCTCACTTGCTGAACTCTGTCTAGACTGCTTTGTTTGTTTGTTTGTTTAACAGTGAAGAGATATATAAATTTTGTGAATTTCTGTCATTGACAGGGAATTGTTCTTTCTCCATTTTTTTTTAAAGCTATACAGATTCTTGCAGCCGTCAGAGGGCTTGTTAATAGTTCTATGTCAGCCTCTGATGCTGAGAATTTCAGGTAAAATAAAACACTGTTTTAAGCTCTAAGGGTACTAGGTATCCCATCATTTTTGCTGTTGTTGCTTTTGCCTCTGGGAAAGGCCTTCTTAAAGGAAATCCTAGAGTCACTACGATTGCCGTTATTCAGGATTCACCTTCTCCCGCAGACTCCCTTGAAGTTAAATATCTGAGTGGGTGGTTAGACACATCTCACCTTTAACACATGCTTATACATGCAGATGACTGGAGATTATTAATATGCTAGGTAGTACACAACAGGCTGACTCTTGTTTTGAAAAACAGATAGTCTGCGTGTGTCTAACAGACATACTCATTGAACATAGTTTTTTCTCCCCAGGACTGGTAAACGCTTGTGTGTGAGTGAAAGTTTTTGCAGCAGACTTAATTTTACTTGACTTTATTTTAACTTTATTTTAGTGCCTCCCCCTTTGCCCCTGGTCCTGTCCTTAGCTCTTGGTCCCCACCCACCTGACCCTTGGAGGACTGGCCAGATGTGAAGTGGCCTCCCCTCAACACCCCATTCTTACTGAAAGAACAACCACTTGGCTTATCAGACTGCAGGACAATGGACCAGAGTAGTCCTCACCAATCTGGTCTGCCCCTAGATGTTTGGGATTACAACTCCCATCCGCACTGGTCAGCATAGCTGTGTGCTATCAGGGTGCTGGTGAGAGCTGTGGTTCGCATCTGGAGGGCACCAGGTTGACAAATCCTGAAGCAGAGACTTCAGCAGTGGGCAAGGGGACAAGGCAGTGGTCCTTGGTATGTCCCTCTTTTAACCTGTGAAATGCTGGAGAATACATGAAGTTGTCTGCTGCTTTGCATTGGATCTCGCTTCCCCCTTCCTACTATCTCTCACCCAATATTAAGAAATACTTAGATATTTCCACCATGCTTTCAGTGCCCATTTACATGGGGAAATAATGCTTCACATGCACTATCTAGTTGCTACTTTTATAGCTACATTGTAAAGAAAATCAGTATTGTTATCTGCCATATTGCAGAGTGGCTTCCCTGAGGCCAAGCAAGTTTATGGAAGAAATGGGATTTGAACCAGCGACTTCCTGATGCTTAGCTCTTTCTCAGAGCCACTGTGCTGCCACAGCTGTTGATAGGTATGAGAGATATAGATCACAGCAGGGTAACTTGTGGTCCATGGGCCACATGTATTCCCTAACTTTATTTTATGAGGCCCCGGGCACCTTCTGAAGCCTGCCCCATTCCTCCATCCCATATGAGTACTTCCTTTCCTTTCTGTTGCCTCCTTATTGTCTTGGTTTTTTAAAAAATGTTTTCCCCTTTTTCTATGTAGTTTTGGAACAACTGGAGGGGGCAGCAGTTTATTGGATTGAAAAAGAAGATGATGCTTTTTATAGCCTTTTCTCTGGTTGTATGGTTTGAGGAAAGAAAGTCTCCCCTCCACCTCCCTGTCTGCTTAAGAACAAATTGGTAGGTTTCTGTCACAGATGTATATTATAGACATATAGACTGAAAGAGGAAGGGCACTGTCAAACTTTTCTGGAATGAGTTGGCGTCATAGTGCAGCCTGGAAGACCCTTTAGTGTTGCATTTCTGCTGCCTTGGAAATTAAAAGCCCCCTTTTAATCAAAAGCTAACAGTGGCTTCTCCACTGCCGCTGCTTCTTGCATTGTGCTGAACTGGCTTCTGTTCCAAATGCACACTTGTTAGATTCTGAATAGCATTAAGCAGGTTTTAAAAGAGGACTTCTCTGTTTGTTTTTACACTATTGTCCTATGCAAGTGGTTAGGCCAAGATTTGTCTTTCTCAATTAACTGTCTCCAACTCAGCAAGATCTCCCCCCTTACCTCCCCTTCCTGGGCAAGACATTGCCCCCTGCCACCCTGTGTCCAAAACCAGAATTTTCATGATAAAACACTGGGATGAGAAAATCTGGAGAGAGTTCAAGTTCTCTTCTGTTGAAGATTTAAGCTGTCTCTGTTTAGAATGGACAAGTGTGGGTTCAACTGAGTAATTTGGCAATGTGAAGTTCTTGAATTGATCTGAAAATTACAGGCAATATAAATACAGGGCATTTTCTCTCCACCCCACCCCAAAGGGATTTAACCTCTGGAGTTGCTGCATGGGAGGAAATAAGGTGAAAGAGAAAACTGGGAGCAAATGACCTCAGGCATTGTCCTCAGGAGGTAGCAGCTTCCGAATGAGAATAAAGGGATAGCAATGTAGAGTAACAGAATAACAGAATTGTAGAGTTGGGTGCGGGACCCTGAGGATCATCTAGTCCAACCCCCCGCAATGCAAGAATTTACAGCTGGCCCAAATGGGGATCAAACCTGCAACCTTGGCATTATCAGCATCACATTCTAACCAACTGAGCCAATTTGGTGAGGTGTAGTACAGGAAAACATCACATACAAGTCCTACTAGGGCTCCTCTCCAGACAACCGATTCATTAAGCATTCATCCTGATTTGCTTGCACAAAGCTAACGTGGAGGTTGGACTAGCTCTGGTCTTTATTGAATATTATTTTCTATTGTATAGCGGGGAAGGTACACAATAATGAACCATTCATTCTGTGTTCATCCTGATTTGATCGCAGGGTGTCTCCCCAAAAAACATGCCACATTTTTCAATGAATTTTCCCGTCACTTCCTTAACTGCAAAAAGTTGCTTCTTTTTTAAAACGTGGATTTCTTGGGTGGCATGGGTTCTTCAGCTCTAATAATGCCCTGTGTCTATCTGGGTGGAGGTCAGAGAGGGTTGTGAGAGTATGTGTACAAAGGTAAAATTTACACCAGCTGCTCAACCACTGTGGCCTTTGACCCCATCCACCCCTGGCACATAGCCCTTGGAAGGTTACCCAGAAGGGTGTGTGGCCCTCAGGCTGAAATTTCTCCCCCATTCCTAGGCTAGCCATCCCTTCATTCATCCCTGCAATGACAGCACAACTGAAGCTGCCCTACACACACAGAATCCAGTGCTTCTAATTGCCCCATGGGGGAAATGTGCAGGTGCCCAGCCCAAGGAATTTTCCTGCTTCCAACTCTACCATTCTGTGATGTTAGGACAGCTATTAGTTATTTTTTAAAACCCCTAGATGAGCCACATCACATTTTGTTCCGTCCTTCATTCCCATCACAGCCAGTCATTATAACATATACACTTGGGAAACTTTTCAGCTCAGTCTCTCAAAAAACACAAAGAAAAAAAGAAGTTACAGCTCATTTGAAATATTCTCATCTTCTCACTTCTCATCGGGAGTTGGACTGCTTTTCCGCCTGATGGTTAAAATGAATTGGAAATTTGGGGCTCATCCATCAGATTTGGAAATGATCTTTTAATTGATGCAAATGTTTAACAGTTAATTGAGCATGGCTATTGTGGCCTCCGAAATGTTTGAAAGTGCAGAAACCCAACACCCAGATATGTGGAAAAAGACGGAAGGGAAGAAAGCCATGCCTGATCCCAAAAATGTTCTTCAAGGGCTTCAAAGAGAAGACGTGAGGACCATTGTCTGGTTTATGCATCCAGCAGAAATTGAGAAGGATAAAGTTAATGCCGGAGTGTATCATTTCAAGCTGAAGTGGGTTGGGGCGAAGGATCTTCAAATGTTCTCTGATGAAAAAGGGAGGGAGATCGTTTCAGCTTAGTAATACCTTGATCTGCTGGTTTTTTATGTGCAGAGAATTCAAGTTCCAGGGGAGCAATCAAACACTTGGGCTGCTTCTTGACTGTCACTGTTTTGGGCTGAGATTCAATTACGTACCAGCAAATTTTAGTTGTCCGATTAAAGCTGGATTTGGAGCTCTTTTGCAACACTCCCTCTACCCCCACTCCCCCAGATGAGATTTCCTGAGAGAAGGAAAGTGATGGCGAAGTGACTTGGAAAGGGTGAGATAACATTGGCATGATGCCACTTAGTCTAATCTCCCTGCAAACAAATCAGGATGAATACTCAATAAATGGGTCAGCTGAAGTTGATCATAACGTTCTCCCCCCCCAAAAAAAAACACCTCCAGCAGTCTGTAATAGCTCATTCCAGGTGATGCTTTACCATGCTATTCTGTAGAACAGAGATGGCTGGACATGGCCAGCCAGCCTTCCCCATTTGGCCTGTGAATGAATTTGGGGAGCCCATGTGTGTCTGCCCTGCAATGGAGGTTCAAAGAACAGTGTGCGGCTATTTGAAATCTCTTTCCCAAGCAGCTCCACGCTACTCTTTTAACTTCCGAATTCCTGAGGCTTAAGGAGCATTGCGGTGCTGCTCCCATAGGGCTTTCAACAGCAGGGAACAGCAACAAAATGTTGCAGTATCCAGCCTCCTAAATGGTGGGTTATTGTTTAGGGTCAGAGACAGCCAATCCTTCAAAGCGGGGCATTTCCCACCTTATATTCTATGACTACTGAGCATGCTCAGCCCTCATTAGCCTGTTTGTTTGTTTGTTTGTTTGTTTGTTTGTTTTCTTCCTTTGTTTTTTTAATAAAAATAATGGTTTTTGTATTTCTGCAACATTCATGGTCCCACCAAGCACGCTGATTCCTTGGGGAGATTCCAGATGGCCAGTTTATTGAGCATTCACCTGGATTTGTTTTGGGGTCTGAGCATGTGTGAGCCTGCAGTTTCCTGTACATTTCTCCCATTACCTTCCTTAGCACAAAAAGTCCAATTTGGAGGCGGGGGAACAGGTTTGTTGCACAAAACCTCCAAATCAGCTATAAGTGTGCAATGTGAATTTGCCCACATGTGGCTGAATCCCACCTGAAAAATAGCAGGAATATGGAAGCCCACCCACCCCATGACCCAGTTTTGGCTCCAATCTTTTTGGCACTCACCAACTACACCTCCCCCCCCCACTATGCAGCTGCCCCCCCCGCTCAGGCCCGCCATCACCACTGCCCCCTGCATGACCACACTGCTTGCCCCCACCACTCAGGCCGCTTCGGATCGCCATAGCTGCCCTGGCCTCCCCACCTGCTGTCCCGCTGCCTTACTTCTGCTTCCTGGGTTCTCTTTCCACCTCCTTCTCTGCCAACATGCTGAAGATACCACCAGCACTGTGATGAAGGGGGCACCACCTTCCTGCTACATACAGTAAGATCCTACTATTAAGATTCTAGTACAGAATTCTAGTAGTAGCAGAAGTAGTAGCAAAAGTTCTAGGAAAAAAACCCCAATCTACACTGAATAGTAAAAAAATTCCAATCAGAGCTTCCACCCCCAACATCCTGTATTGATATGGATATACAGTGGTACCTTGGGTTACATACGCTTCAGGTTACATACGCTTCAGGTTACAGACTCCGCTAACCCAGAAATATTACCTCAGGTTAAGAACTTTGCTTCAGGATGAGAACAGAAATCATGCTCTTGTGGCACGGTGGCAGCAGGAGGCCCCATTAGCTAAAGTGGTGCTTCAGGTTAAGAACAGTTTCAGGTTAAGAATGGACCTCCAGAACGAATTAAGTACTTAACCCGAGGTACCACTGTACAGTACAAATATTTACCAATCTTTATCCCTTTAAAAAAAAAATACCCAAAAACCCTGTATATTTTAAAAAGCATGTATTTATTTATCCACCAGAATTTATAAACCACTCCGCAACCAGAGAATACCTGAGTAGTATACAGAAATGAAATATAAAACATAAAGGCTGTCACAAAGCAGCATTGAAGTGTAAAAAGGAATAGAAAAGAATTTAAAACTATATAAATAAGAATCAGAGATGGAGAAAAGAGACATTTTTGACAAAAGATGCCTACCAAAAGATTTTATGGGGAATGTTGCATAGTAAATACTACTACGACTCATAGTAATTTGTAGTAGTCAGATTCTGGTATAGAATTCTAGTACTACAAGTGGTAAAGATCGCATCTACATTGAGTAGAACAGATTATGTAATCAGGGCTTCCTCATGGTGTCCTGTATCCGTATGGATGTACAAATATTTACCAGTCTTCTTCTTCTTCTTCTTTTTTAAAGATCAGCTTACGCGCAGTTTATCGTCAATATACACAGTGACCTCAGGGATTTCTCTCTCCTTCTTCTCTTCTTTCTTGCGCTAATGCTGTGGTATGTTGGTCTCTGTTGGGTCTCCATAGAGGGGGGGCTTGGAATGCATTAAAGAACAATACTGAGGGCGGGCAAAGAGGAAAGAATGAAGGGCAACCAAGTTTGATAACCGCATTAAAGCACTCCCAACATCTGCTCAGGCCAAAGACAACACTATCACCAAGAATTAACCTTCTGAACCACTTAATCATTAACTGCGGCCCAGAGAAAGTTCAGCAACAAGGCTCCCGTTTGTTGGCTGCGGACCCTTGAGAGATGCCGCATGCAGCAAGCAATATTTTACGGGGCACCAGCGTGAGAAGAGGCTGGACAGCTTTAGACATTTTAAACATTGGAATAGATTTCTGTGGGAAACCGAGAAACAATGGGAGCTCCCAAACAGCTGACCGGGCCCCACTTAAATCGAGATGAGTGTCCCACAGCACTTGGAAATAGAACAGCAACATCTTTGCTTGACATCTACGAAGAATTATATGCTTTTCCAGGTTTTCCTAAGGAGTAAACAGAGACATGGTGCTTCACCTGGGCTTGAAAAGTTGCCAGGATCAGGGAGAAATTTTATTCTGTTCGCTTATAAAGGCAAACCTGTCAAATTTGCCCTTTTCCAAACAATATCCAAACCTAAACGCAGACACCCCTTGAAATTTGCACCTCTCCTAATTTTGCAATCCAGTTCTCCAGATGACTAATGTGAACCACAATGCCTAAAGTAGGGTGAAGTGTGCGTAGAAATGCACATATTCATGAAAATGCATTATATTAGGGAAATCTGTTTGCAAACAATGTGGATATTTGTCAAAACTGCAGGCACAAACAATCTTCATGTGGAAAAAAAAATCATAATAAAATGCTGACTTATTTCCATGGGGATTAAAAAACAACAACAATACAGTAAATCGTTGCAGAAATGTGGAGAACGGAATTTAAGATTGGAAAAATCAGAAAACCCGAGAACCAGAATTGATAGCAGTCCCTCTTTTCACACCTTCCAACATCTAAAACAATCTAAACACAGAAGGAAGGCAGGAGGTCAGGGAAGGGGTGAGGGGAGAAGCAAAGCCAAAGAAAAAAGTGGGGGAAGTCTTCCTAAGGAGTGGAAGGCAACAAACATACTGTTTTATTTCCTATTGAAGTTCCAGCAAAATGTTACTAACAGTCATGGGCAGATGTAGGTCTGGCAACAAACAAGCAAATGGAAGAGGGTTCCAATTCAAAACAAATTTCATAAGCTGGGACAATTGGACTGGGTAAAAAATAGTTGAATTCGGGCTGTGCATTTCCAAAGTGTTCAAAACACACAGTTTTAGTTCCTAA